AAACCTAAAACTGTTAATACCTATAAAAGCTCTAGAACAGCGCCCGGCACTTAAGAGACCTTCAGCGAAGGTCATGTATTTGTACTGTTATTAATGTGTTTATCTCCTTCATTAGGTAAGGATGTTGGGTTCCCTTGTATTCATCTTAGACTCTCTAGGATCTCCTATGGCCCCTGGACCTGGCAGGTGCTCAGTAAATACTGGCCTGATGATGGGACCATGGTCGTGATTGCCATCTTAGCCAGAAAAGTGTTCTAGACAGCCCTACAGGTAACTCTGAAAAAATTAAATCCATGGTCATTACCAGGGGCATATCCATTGTCCTTAGTGAGTATTTTCAGAGCAATATTCCTCTGCCATCTCAAAAAAATACCATGAAACACGCAAGCAAACAAAAACAACAAACACAAAGTCATTTCTGAGTTGGAAAGGGACCCACATGTTTGCGACTTCTTGTCTCCTCCTTACTCTGATCTGTTTCTCTCAGCCCCTACAGATGTTCAGAGTCTGGATCTCACTCACTTCCACCTCCTTGGGGGTCTCACTCCTTGAGACAGCCCTTCCCTCCCATTCGTCCAAACCCTTCTGGTTCACGAGATTCTCCTCCTTAATAGATAATGTGAGCTCAGTTTTCTACCACATACAGCAGCTGCACGAACAAACAAAACCACAAAACCAAACCAGAGTTCCCAATCCCTACGTTCCTCTCCACTCACCCCACACTGTCTGACTTTTTGACAGTGACCTCTACGTGTTAAACTTGATAGACACTTTATGTCCTTATTTTAGTGACCTCGTAGCTCAGTAGTACCAAACACTCTTTTTTTTTTTTTTTTTTGTTCTTCTTAAAATTCTTTCTTCACTTGATCCCGGGATCTCACTGTCTCCCTACTTCTCTGCTCATCTTCTACAAGCTCTTTTGCTTCCTTCTATCCCTTAAATGTGATTTTTGTTCTTGGACATCTTTTTTTTCCCCTGTCTCTATACATTTGTTATGGGCAATCTCATTCATGCTGAAGGCACCAAATACTTATTTCCTGATGCTTCCCTCAGTGATGATGACTCTCGAACTGTATTTCTGACACCAGTCTCTCTGTTGGGATCCAGATTTGTATGTACATCCCCCTTCAGACGTGTCCACCTGAATAGATACTACCCTATCTGGGAGACACGCAAACTCAAGATATCCAAGTGTTGTTTGTGTTTTGCCCTCAGATGCCGTATTTTTTAGTAAAAGGTGCTACACTTGCGTAATAGTCAAAACCAGAAATGTGGTTTCATTCTAGAACCTTGCTCTCTACTTCATCGTGAGAGCCATTTTTTAAAATCAGTGGACTCTACCTCCTACGGATCCCTCACATCTCTACCCCTATGTTGCTGTCTCCCCCTTCCATCCACTCTGCCTCTGTTTTAACATAGGCCCCCATAGGTTCTTGTCTGCCTCTCCATCTTCTCTCTGGTGAACGCAAATCTGATGGTGTTCTGACCCTGTTCAGTGTAACTGTTAGGGTCAAGTCAAGCCAAATCTGTCCCCTGAGCCCAGAGTGCATGGAGTGCTCTGCCCCTTCCAGCCCATCTGGCTCCAGCTCTCTGCTCCCCAACACAAGGCTCCCCAAAACACAGGCCACTCCCTTGGGAGCCCTTGGGTTCCATCCCCCACACCCTCACTCACTGGTGTGCTCCTCCTGCCACGTTTTCCTTCCTGATCCCCATTCCTCTCCTACCTCCTTCACCTGAGTGGCTCCTGCTCATCCATCACAATTTAATTAAAGCATGACACTCCATGGGAAGCACTCCTTGTTTTCCAGTCAGGTTTGGATCTTCCCCCTCGGAGCTCTCCACCACCTCAATGCATTTTAGGAGGTGGTGTGGTCTGGTGTTAACAGCAATGACTCTGGGACAGAGCAAAAATGTTTGGGGTCAGGCACCAGGCCTGCCATTCCTAGCTAGGTGATCTTGGCAACTTACTTGCCCTGGGCCTCAGTTTCCTCATTTGTAAAGTAGAGATGTTAATGGTACTGCCCGTCTCAAAGGCTGGTGGGCAAGCAAGTGAGATGATTTTACAAAAAGTCCGTGGAACAGCGCCTGACACACAGGGAGCCTGAATAAAGCCGAGCTATTTTTGTTATTATCGTAACTACTGATTTTCTTGTCTACTTTCCAAAACAGACAGAGAGAAGTCTGATTTCCCTCTGAGGGCAAGAAGCCATGCCTACTCTGACTACGTTCCCTCGGCACCTCACACAGCATCTGGGACATTGTAGGTACTCAATAAACAGTCACTGAATGAATGAAAAAATACACAGAGTGCGTGAAGTACGGCCTTAAAATCTCACCTGTGAAGTATGCTAATGAACAGCATCAGTCTGATTTTCTCTTGCATGTTTTTTTTTTTACTTGCACAGTAAGATGTTGATGGTATCTCATTAACTTAGTATAACTGACTCACTGTTCTTAGAGTCAAGACTCTCCTACTCCTGACAGGAGGGCACGATGTAGTTAATTAACAGAAATGTTATTCTGGAAGCCATGAACTGTGTAGGCATGAACTGTGACAAAATTCCTCGGAGACACAAGCAGAGAAACAAAATCTGAATTCCTATCAGAGAGAGATCAGAAAGCCTACCAAGTTAAAAAAAAAACCCACGTAGAGACAGTTTTTACAAGTGTGACTTTAGGAATCCTCTTCCCTGAGCTCCCCGGATGAGAAAACAGGTGTGCAGAGTGCCTCAGGTACAGGAGAGACAGAGAGACAGAGAGAGGTGCCGGGGAGAGGGTGCTCCACCTCCACCCACTGCCCGTGCACCCTGCAGAGAAGAGTCTGGAGCCGTGTCATACATGATGCAGCTCCATGTGGCCATATTTCCCTCCATGTCCTTCATGGAAGCATCCCTTCCTGTTTGCTTTGAAGAAGTGCTTCTCAAATACAGAAGCCTGCCCTTTTTTTTTTCTCCCCTCGGTTCCTCTGAACCTCACTGGAGATGTTCCATCATGATGGGTGAATATTCCATAGCTCTGCACTGGGGGATCTCAGCTACCCTTAGTAACTGTTAGAAGACCCGGAGGACTCCGAGCAGAGGCCCGCCTGTAGCATGGATGTGCCATGCTTCTTTACCAGAGGGAAACTCTATGACAAAACGAGGCTATCATTCTCCCTTTGCACAGAGTTTTCATATGACAGAAAGACTGGGGAAACTTGGAGAGCATCTCGGAAGATCCTTCATCATCAGAAATAATTGGAATTCTATTATGCAGGAGCTGAGGAGAAACCCTTGCTTGCTCCGTCTACACTTGGTCTGTCTCCTTTCCAACCCTGGCTCAGGCTTACGAAATAAGGACAAGGTGAATCTAAGTAATTTTATGGAAGCGTGTAGAATTACTCAAATATGGATCGTGAGCTTTCTCTTTGAAAATATATAAAATACATGAAATATATAAAATACAACGTGGAAGTTGGAAAACAGTTTAACTGTGCAAGGTGAAAATCCCTTCAAGATAATTCCAGTCCACAATTCATGTAAAGAGAGGATGACTATTTACTTTTTTTTTTTAAGATTTTTTTTTTTTAAAGTAATCTCTACACTGAAAGTGAGGCTTGAACCTACAACCCTGATCAGAGTCACAACTCTACTGGCTGAGCCAGCCAGGTGTCCCCGACTATTTTTTAACTTTTTAATTCTAGGGTTAGAATATTCTCAGTCTTCCCTTTCAATCAGATCTGGCCGGATTAGATCTGTAATGAGCATCCTCAGGAATATGATAATGACACCTCCTAGAGACTGACATAAAAGCTTTATGAGTATCCATATTCTACTATCATAACAGCCCTACAAATTACTACCTCCATTTTACAGATCAGAAAATTGGGATTCAAAGAGATTAAGCAATCTATCCAAGGATTTAGATTTCGACCTGAGAATATGTATTTCAAAGACCGCTAATCACGATCCACTATTTTACAAAAAGAATCCCATGGGATTAGAGCAGAAAAACATTGCCCGAGATTCCCTTTTTACAAGACCACATTGCATAATTGCATCTATGAAAAGAGACAAATATTCCATCAGATATTTCTGGGGAATGGGTTTGGGAACATGATGGGTCCAGACCCAGTGACTCAGGCCCTCAGGTAATAGGGTACAGACTAGCAAAAAGGGGACTTTTCAATGTGGGGAGGGATACTGATATTTTGTGGAGGGACACAGGGCCCCTGACTTGTGTGCCCATTCTAGTTCTGGTCACGTCTGTCACCTATGCTGACTCTTTCTTGGTCTGAACAGCTAAGAGAGCCTTGCAAATATTCACCAAACCTGGGAGTTTATGGATTGTACATTCCAGAACCTGAACTTCTGGCCCGAGGATAAAATGGCTCGGGAATAAGGAGAACTGCCCTTCTCACAGTTGGCGACCCCCTACCTTCCACAGATGGCATTTCCCAAACCACAGGACCTCGTGAGGGTCTTTGGGATCCAAGGCAAGCTGGGCTGAGCTAGGCAACATCTGCTCTTGCTCTGGTTATGATAGTCTCTGTACCCTTAGTGAAATAAATTCAGAAGGGAGACCTTTAGAGGGTATGTGGGTTTGGGGCCTGTTCTGGAAAGCTGCAGACTCAAGAGTTTCTTTGTATAACCCAATGCTGTCTCTGCTGCTTCATTAACTCATATAGACCTTAATTTTTAGTATCCCTCTTTTTAATTTTTTATTATCCCTCCCAGTCCCTTACGTCTTACTCCCGACCACTTTACACAAGTCTCTGTCTCTCATCTTCTTCCTCGAATTGCATTGCCTGGGAATCTCTAACTGTGCCGGTTTCCTCTGGAGCAATCTGAGGGCAGGGGGCCAAGGTCTTTCTCAAGTCTGTGTATCTACTGTCCAGCACCATTTCCAGAGCAAAGGCTGCCACTGATGTTGGGATCCAGGGATATTAGGTCATCAGGGTTGGGATCCGCTGGAAGGGACAAGAGAGGCTGTTCACGAGTTGACAGAGAGTTTATACTCACATTTCAGCTCGAGTTTGATGAAATCTGTGTTGCCCAGGTTTTCCAGAAACACTCCTCGGGGGATTAATGTCTTGAAGTAGAAAGAAATGTCGGCACTCGTCTCCCCTTGGAAAGTAGAGAAGTGCAGGTAGGATGATGGGTTTGGGAAGGAGGCGGCATTCCAATAATTCCCTGTGGAAGGGGAGAAACAGGGTTATTTGTACCTTCATCATGGGAGGTACAAGAAAGACAGCCATTTCTTGAGTTTTGCCAAGTTTCCATTGGCAGTAACTCTTGTGCCCTCGCTTTCTGCTGCACATCACTGCACAAAATCCCCCTCCAAATTTTTGGCTTTCCAGAAGTTCTATGTGTGTGCGTAAGAGACTGTTTTATTAATGATGGAAAGTTGGGGAGCAACCCTGGAGGGGAAAATGGAGGGAAGCCCCTGGCACTACCATGTGCGGTGGCGCGGGGGGGGGGGTGTGCTGTTTTGAACTCACGCACATGTGCCAGTGGCTGAAGTGTGGTGCAAGAGGCACCTGGGCTAAACCCAGAGGCATAGGATAGGAATGAGGTCTTTGGTCTTCTGCTCTTGCTTCTCATCCATTTTTGTCTTTGAATAAGCAGCACCTGCTCAGATGCTGGGTACATCCGAGGTGTGGGGAGAGGCGGAAGCTCTGGGGAGTGGGGAGCTGAAGAAAAGGTGGGATGAGCAGGCAACCAGGCAAGGCCAGTCGTCTTCCCACCCCTCCCAGTCCAAACCTTCACAGGCAAGGGAATGTCTCCCCTGCCAACCTCTTCCTGCGGATTTCAGGTGAGGGGGTAGGGAGTGCTGAGCTGAGCCCAGCTACGGGCTCTCAACCAGCCTCTACCCTTGAACTCATGGGGAAGACACAGTTGTACACGCCCTCCCCTGCCACCTGCTCACTTGGTGGGAGGCAGTGTCCCCAGGAGAGAAGCAGTTCACAGGGCAAAATAAAAACACCCGGCTCTATGACTCACATTCCATTAGAACAGACGGACCGAGAATTTAATACAACCAGGAGCTGACTCTTGACTTTATCTCCAGGGGAGAAAGTCCTTATGAATGTGAACATTTCTGAGTATGTTTATTATTGACGCTAAGGACTAAAATACAGGAGCATGCTTTAGAATAGCTACTGAAGCCTTTCCCTTTAGTCCCAACCCCCTGTTAACATCACCAGGTTAGGCCCAAAATGGAGTCACTCACGCTAAGTCCCACATCAACAAACCAAAACTTAAGGAAGTTTCAATACCCTGCTCTCCCACAAAAGGAAGGCTTGAGGGAAAAGCCAAAAGGCTTTTGTCTGCTCAGCACACTTTACCTGACTGGGCCCCGTGCCCCCTCTTTGCTCCCTACAAGGGAAGTAACCCCGCTTTAGCCAACCAGCATATGTCCAGGGCAACTTCCTTGTTCTCGCTCACTTTGGTCTAGAAAAATTACTTCCTTCCCATAGCTCGTCAGGGATACTTTCTATCTGCTAGATTAGATGTTTCCTGATTCATGAATCACTGAATAAAACCCAAAGAGGTCAGTAAATTGTGCAAAATTTTCTTCTTACAAAAAAAGGTGTTTTTTTTTTTTTTTGCTTCTTACTGATTTTTGCTGTATCTTCCCTTCAAAGAACACAATCAATTAGGTTCACTCTAATCGTTTTTATTCCTGCATTTTTTTCCTTTTTTTCACGCAAAGTATGCACATATGCCATATTAAGTTCAACTGCTATTTTTTAAAAACATTTTATGTATTTATGTGAGAGAGAGTGAGAGACAGAATGAGCACGAGCAGTGGGGAGGAGTAAGGGGAGGGGGAGAAGCAGCTTCCCCACTGAACAGGAAGCCCAATGTGGGGCTTAATCCCAGGACTCGGGGGATCATGACCTGAGCCACCCAGGTGCCCTCAACTGCTATTCTTAAATAAACTATTTTTGTGCTGGTACTGCTATACTTAAACTATAATTTTAAATTAAATATATGATGTTGTTATTTACTGAGATATTTAAATGTCCTCTTATTCAATTCATGTTGTTTTCATTCTCGGCGATACCCAGTATATAGTGACATGTAGAAAAGTGAACGGCAATTTATAACCAGTGGGTCAGTGCAAAATGTTCATAAATGTCTTCATTAAGGTAAAACAGTGGTGGTGGTGGTCAAACCTATTATTTAAGGGGTCCCAAAAGTCTAAGTGGAGTTTTGAGCTATTTTTTTTTTTAAATTGCAATATCTGATGGGCACTGAGGTGGGCACTTGACGGGATGAGCACTGGGTGTTATTCTATATGTTGGCAAATTGAACACCAATAAAAAATAAACTTATAAAAAATAAATAAATTGCAATATCATAGCTTTCAGCAGTAGAAAAATAGACTGGTTTCCTCTTGGGAAGAAGAATATGGCATGATGTTGGTTAGACTAATATCTTGAAAAGAAAGAATCTTAATGATTGTGTAAGTTGCTATCATCTGAGGGCCGAGTCCTCTTCCTGACTCAAGATCTGGTGAATATACTGTGAGGGGACGTAGGGCTCACCTTTCCCTGCTGTCTGAGCACAAAGGTCTCTCAAGGGAAAACCTAAGTCAAACTAGAAGTTGCAGCCCCCTCACCAACCAGAGTTCTGGGAGGAATGAAGCCGGGTCCCCAGGGCCTGGAGGATGCAGCTCCTCGTAATTGGGTGAGAGCCCTATACCAACCCAGGAGGTTGCGAGGATCAGAGTCTTCAGCCACTCTTCAGCCTAACGCAAAGCAATTCTGTCTCCTTAGGCCGAATGCCCAGGACATGAACGTAATTAACATTTTAAAGTTTCATTCCAATCAGGTGCATTCCCGTTTTCTGAGGTGGTGATGTATTTAACGGAAGGGCAGTTGTCTAAAATGATTCTAGAAACAGGAAAGCTAAAAGTAAAACATGTCAGTATTTATTTGAGGTCCAGCGCTGGTTATTCAGACAGAAATATCCCCGGAGAAGGGAAGGGCAGTTTAATCAGGTCTTCCAGTTTGATGAAAGATCCCTACAGACCACAATTCCATTTGTTCTAACTCTATGCTCACTAAGCAGCTTCGAACTAATTTAGCCTTTTGAGTAGACATATTCGCGGGGAAATTGAGTCTTGTGCAAATGGTAGTCACCAGTCATCCTCCCGGAAATGTCTGGGTTCTCTCTTGGTATCTTTGGTGCTGTCACTTGCTGTATGTCCCAAGTCCCTGGATGAACGGGCTAAGTCCAGATTCTTGATCGGCAGCAGGGAGGCCCCTCTCGGGACCTGACTGGTGGGGTCAGAGTTGAGGTGCTGAAGGGGAGCCAAAGGGCACGAGCAGAGGACATCAGGAATTTTTTTTTTAATTTTTTAAAAATTTCCATTTATTTATGATAGTCAGAGAGAGAGAGAGAGAGAGAGGCAGAGACATAGGCAGAGGGAGAAGCAGGCTCCATGCACCGGGAGCCCGACGTGGGATTCGATCCTGGGTCTCCAGGATCGCGCCCTGGGCCAAAGGCAGGCGCCAAACTGCTGCGCCACCCAGGGATCCCGACATCAGGAATTCTATTTAGTGGTCCCTCATGGGGAATTGGTTAAGGAAACAGGGATACGTGGTGCGAAGGTTTTGATGAGCAGGGTGGACAATAAGAAAGTTTGGTTGCCGCTGCTCCAGACCCTGATGAACTTCTGTGAGCCCTGTTCTAGTGAGTCTGTAGCTCAGTTTCTGGGATTCCGGGTTATAACAAAATAAGAGGCGTGCTTTTTTTTTTTTTCTTTTTTCTAGTGCTCACTGTGCTTCGTAAGGCAAGGAGCTTACAGCATTATTATTGTTTACTCTGTTCCCACCTGACCATAAGCTCCTGGAAAGCTAGGAGAAAACCATTTCATCTCTGTAACCTTTGGCCCCAGAACTTAGTAAGTACTCAATAAATAATTATTAAACCAGTGAATAAGTGAATAGCTGCCCCCTCAGTTACATCCAATTCCACTCCATATGCAAAGTCCTCATGGGACAAAATCTACTTTATGGTAACCTGAGTATTGAAGATACTAAATAAAGATAAATAAAAGCTGACACTACTTTAGCACCTCCTGATAGCTGGGCCCTGCCTCCACCAGCACACTGTAATTTTTCTTACCTGTGACTTAATTTCTATTTTTCCCTACAGACCTCATTGAACAATGCCCCGCATTTGCAAGACTGATGGTCTCATAACCTTAAGATTATTGGAATAGCCGCAATTTGTACTTGCTATCAAGGTCAGGGCTATAGAGGGGAAGGTGATATTGGATGAGAATACCAAGTTGGAAATAAGAGATTTCGCTGTACGGCAAGGACTGGTGTCTCAGCAGGTGTGGACAGGCAAAAAGGGGGCAAGGCTAGAAGGTGTGAAGCAGGACAGAAATACATATCTGAGGCCAGAGGGGCCAGTCAACAGCCACAGAATAACGAGGCAGGTACAGAGATGAGGAGGGCCCCAGCCGAGGGCTGCACAACAGTAATGATCAAAGGCTGGGCAAGATGGCGGGCATGAGGTGGAAGGCTCCACCAGCTTGAAAACCACTTGGCCATTTAAGAAGCTTTTTGAACACATCGTGGGCCAGGCCTGGGCTCATGTCCTGAGGCGAGAGAGCCAGCAGGTACCTCCAGCCAGTGCAGGAGAGTGGGGCTGGGCTGACCAACCAGGCCCTCAGTATCCCTGCAAACCTGAGTGAGTCGCTAATAAAAAAATGCAGCGTCATCCACTCATCCAAATTCTTTAGCAGCTCTTCAAACTCACCGATGATTATTTGGTATGGGATTCTGACTTCAAACATTCCAAGGATCTTTTCTGTTGGGCAGTGTTAAAGAATTTCAAACTAAAATGGAACTGTAGGATATAGAATGGAAACTCTCACCCACGGGCCCCCATGAAAATAAAACTTACAGACTGGCTGACTGGCTTCTCATAAATGCCCGATTTACAGACATCTGATAATATTGGAATGGGGTTGCTTGGTCAGGGGCTACAGCATAGCCACCTCAGGAAATTTTTGCTTATGGTTTCCAGACGCATGAACAAGAAATGACTTAGGTTGGGTTGGTCTTGAAAAATAAGCTGAATTGAGCTTTGTTTGTCTGACTGGACTGGTTTTGTGTGCTTAGGGAATTTTCGCAGCTGACCTCTGTTTGTTTTTTAGTTTAACAGACCTA